TATGAGTAGACCTGACGTTTCCATTGAAATTCACACAGCCTTATTTTCAGAACAAGTATCTTCCTTCATGATGATCTGCAGTTTCGACCAAAGGGCATGTGTAAATTTTTAGTAAGGCTATGCATTTGGCCATTTCACATTCTGTGGTGGGATTATCGATACACCAAAGTTGTATTTGCTATAGCAATCGGTTAAATTACGTATTTTTCGTTTATACTTTGGCTTTAGAGACTACCGCTAAATTACATATATGGGATGTATTTACCCTATTTCGTTTGAGGTGATGTGGGGACTATAAGTTGAATTTCCCAATAATCATATAAGTGGTAAACGAAATAGGATGAATACATTGCCCTATATATGATTTACCGGTAGTCTAGAAAGCCAATTTATAAACGAAAAATAAGTAATGTAGTCGATTGTTTTAGCAAATACAACTTTGCTTCATTGACAATCCCACCAGAGAATGTGAAATTCACATCTTCTCTGTGACCATTGTGCACTCGTGGCAATGTGGCGTAGTTGCTGCCGTGTCGAGATTGTTTGCTGCATTTTTATGTTTTGATTCTTGCCGAGGGGTGTTGCGAGGCTTAGGTGAAGTTGAAACTGCAGTCGACTTGTGTCGGAATAAGAAAAATTTTTGGGAATGTGCAATTCAATAGAAACGTCATGTCTATTCATAGCATTGTGGCAAAATGTCAACTAACCACCTCCGAGCACTCTAAACCAAATAGGATGAATACATTTCATATTTAAGGTATACTAATAGTGTGGAAAGCCTACTTATAAACAAAAAATAAAAGTCACAGTCACAGTGTGGAGAATACCGACCGAATCCCACAGATACGTAAATGTAGATAAACCCATCGGCAAAAGTTTCCGGGTGCAACATTGCGAAATAATATTTGCAGAGTAGCTGGGTTCCGCTTAATCTTTGTTTTCAGTTAATTTTAAATAAGCTTTTTAGCCACGACAGATCACTGAAAGCTGAAGTTTCGCACAATCAGAGGAATAGGCCCAACAATCCCATCGAATATTACTTAGCCTTGCCAAAGTTGAAGAAGCAAGACTATGTGAATTTCAATAGAGAAGTAAGACCTACTCATAGTATCGAGAGAATATGTAATCTGTGGTGACTAAAGGCCCAGTCCAAAACTTACTGAAAATCTCGAAAATATGATTTGTATAAATATATATATTCATCGAGGCCCAGTTATTCTTCATATATTACCTATGACTGCTGAACCCAGACACTTTGGCAGACGGTTTTTATCCATATTTTACTTTCCGGATGACCCGACTAGTATTCACTTGATCTGGACAGAATGTGCAAACATTCTCGAAAGGAAGGTATAACTCAAGTGGTCATGCATAATCATTGTTTCTCATTTACTCAGTTATTCGCCTATTTTTATTCAACTAACAAAATGGTTGTCCACCATCGTTCTTGTAGGTAATCATAGAATTCAGTTCAATTCTATGAGATATATTTACCTTATTCTGCTTAGAGAGACGAAGGACTGGAATTCGAATTGTATCATAATGGTATGAGTAAGCCTCATGTTTCCTTTGCTGTTCGCATAGGCTTTCTTACCAAAAGGTATTATTATCGAGTTAGAAGTGGATTGTAGCTTCAGCCCCACCTGAACTGGTCTTATCAGCACCCCAGTGGGACTGGAACCTGGGTTGTACCAGTCCTTCATCACTTTGGACGAAATAGATTGAATACGGCTCTCATATCGGATCAATAGATAGTCTCTAAAATCTACTTATGAAACGAAAAATATCTAATGTTGTCGATTGCTATAGCAACCGACGCCCACCGCAGAAATGAGATATATTAAACGTTTAGGCTTCTGGGAAATTGACTTCTGCCTCGTGATAGGAAAAGACTCATGGCAGTTTGGCGTAATGGTTGACGTGTGGATAAGGAAGAGAGAATACCTTTTTTGGTAGGAAAACTATGTGAAATTCAGCGAAAACATGAAGCTTAAGCATGTGATTGTGGTAAAATGCAAAATAATGTGAATCAATTTTATGCATTAATCACAACTAGTGTGAATTGTTAGGGCCCAAATGAGACTGCGGATTAGTCAAACCATCTCCGCTCACTCGATGGCTCCTCCTGATCCCCAACACTTTCCACTTCCATCTCTCCCTCTCCCATTTAGGATGCTGTTTTTATCATATTTGTCGACTGCTTAATTGTCCAGTGATTCGTGAAGCCTCAATCTCTTGCACAACCCTCTTCCGTATGATCAATCGGTCTGCAGCTCGTGTAGAAGTGGGCATAATCGTGAAAAGTGTTGGTCTTATTTCATACATTTTCCTAATGTTCCATCTCCTTCTCTTTCGAGACCCAGCCAGATGACAACATCAGGAACCTGGTTGAAGTGTTGTCCTTTAAAGCCAGCTTCTCTTCACGACCATTGGGGGGGTACATTTGTATTTGTAGTATGCCTTCTGGCTAGCGCCGCTTCCATTTTTGACTAGGCTTAAACGATAAGACATGAGAAATAAATGCCAAGAAAAGTTGGGTTTCGAAGTTGACATTTGACCTTAACTAACCAAACGACTTTGTACTTGATCAAAGAGGCCAGATATAGAGTATGTATACCACTTTTTAGGGATTTGCCGGTGAGTTTTCTGGACTCCTTTGCTTCAATTTGGTTGTACGATGTTACCTCGCTCTGTTGATGTCCGTCATATGACGGACGAAAGCTTAGCACCTTTTCACCGGAATCGAAAGAGGTTGCCTCGGAAACAGTGTCAGCATCAGCTGGTCAAGAGGAATCCGTCGTGGTCTTCTGGTGGAACCGACTTTAAAATCTCTTCACCCAACACTTTCCCTCGAAATGGAAGTAAGCTCAACAATGAGAAATGAAGACAATCTGGCTTCTGAAGAATCCCTTTGGGATATAATGTGACAATTTTTGTCATCAAGAATGCGTGAAATGGTCCCAACGGAAGCCTAAGGAGGATTGTTGCGTGATGACGACTGTGTGAACGAGTCCTCGGCTCACCGTCCTGCAATCTTGACGAATCTGTGCTAAGCGTTTATCTCTACTGCCGTGAAAGACATAATCAGGGCAAGAATACATGCGTTACAAAATAGAGCAAAATGTATACGAAAACAAGAGAAAAACGTGGTCGGAATCAACCCTATTCACTAGCTTGTCCACCCAACCTGTGATTTGGTTAGCTACCTCGAAGTTGCTCTACACGCTTGAAGATGAGTGAGGTCATAGAAGTTGCTTGACATTGGTTTCGCAGCTTGGTCATATCAGCAGGAAGACCAAGAGGAACGCACCTTGTTCGGCGTCCATTGTATGCATGATCATTGTGAAGAAAAGTTGGGTTTCGAGGACTCGCTTGTTTCATAATTGTTGAGCTTACTTCCACTTCGAGTGAAAGTGTTGCGTGAAGAGATTCGAAGGTCGGTTCCACCAGAAGACGACGACCGATTCCTCTTGACCAGTTGTCGATTGGCTCTGCTGGAACATTCATGCCGACGCGATTTCCGAGACAATTTCCTTCGACTCCGGTGAAAAGGTGCTAAGCTTCCGTCCGTCATGTGACGGACATCATCAGAGCGAGGTACCATCGTCACAACAAAATTCAAGCTAACGACTCATGAAAACTCCTTTTTGAAGGAGATTGCCTTGGAAACAGCGTCAGCATGAATCTTCCAGTAAAGCCAATCGACAGCTGGTCAAGAGGAATCGGCCGTCGTCTTCTCGTGGAACCGACCTCCGAATCTCTTCACCCAACACTTTTACTTGAAATGGAAGTGAGCTTAACAAAATTCACGATCATTTCCAGAGTTGGACCATTGACTTGGTGCATTCCAAGACATTTTGGCTGGCAAACCAATGATTGTCTTCCTTTTCCGAGAATGGCAAGACTCACTGACGATGCCGTCGAACCGTCTGTGAATGCACCAAGTCCACGATCCGAATCTGGAAATGATGATGCATGCAATGGACGCCGGACGAGATGCGTTCCTCTTGGTCGTCCTGCCAATAGGACCAAGTAGCGAAACCAAAACCAAACAACTTCTATAAAACGAGAAGAGACCGCGACCATACAAAAGACCACACCATCCTGGTCTTCATGTCTATGGATGAGGTAACTTTACCAACAGGAATTACTTTCGGCGGAGGGCCTAATCCGCAGTCTTTCTGAAGCCCTATTTCATACGTTTTCTTTAAGAGTGTTTTCTTTGAAACTCTACTTCTCTTGAAGATATGAAGACCAAGATGTTGTGGTCACAGTCTCTTTTCGATGTATAGAAGTGGGTTGACCTCGCTGTCGCAACTTGATCTTGTCGTCAGGGCGACTATGTAGAACGCATCTAGTCCGAAGTCGTCTGTCATGATTCCCAGCATCTGACAGTGGACTTGGTACATTCTCAAACGTTTCGCCGGCATTATAGTCGGCATCATCAGTCAGTTTTACAATTCTCCGCACCAAGCCACGAACTCGTCAAAAAGACAAGTGAAGTCAATCCCTCGACAACCGTTCTGCCAGGATCCTGTCTCCGGTGGATTTTCAAAAACTCCAGATCCCGACAGACAGAAAATCACGTAGGATTTCTCACTTAATAACAAAACGGCATGACGATAAGTTGCGTAAGTTTGGGATTATTAGACAGCCTAAGTTACAATCAGTACGCCCAGTTAAAGTGGTTTCCAAAGTGACAACCTTTACTGATCATTAATTCCTCTCAATCCCGAAACTTCAACTGGGCCTACTGATTTTAACTTGAGCTGTCTAATAATCCCAAACTTACGCAACTTATCTACATGCAGTTTTGTTATTAAATCAGAAATCCTGCGTGATTTCTTGTCTGTCATGCTCTGGAGTTTTTGGAAAATCTTCCGGAGACAGGATCCTGGCAGAACGGTTGTCGAGGGATTGACTTCACTTGTCTCTTTGACGAGTTCGTGTGTTGGTGCGGAGAATGGCAGCACTCACTGATGATGCCGACTACGATGCCGGCGAAACGTTTTAGAATATATCAAGTCCACTGTCAGATGTTGGGGATCATGACAACTACTTTGGCAGACGACTTCGGACTAGGTTCGTTCTACACAGTCGCCCTGACCACAAGACCACGAGGTCAGCCCACTTCTACTTCTCTTTACTACCGATAGAGTCGAAAAAGTATACATTTGCCTCTACATGTACCATGCTTTCTGGCTCGCATCGCTTTTGTCTGCTGACTAGGCGTAAACAATAGTACATGAGTGTTGCTCAGACTGTCTTCACTTGCACCAATGACCTGAATCCGGCCCAGCTCCTCCCCTCGTTTCCACAATTCCACTTGGCCCTGGTTCGCCACATGCGAATCCGCTTGTCTCTGTCGCCCCCCAGTCTCGGCATCTCGGCCGGCCGGGCAGACGACCGTATAAGCAATTAGCCCACTTGGTACACACTGGTACAGCCCGCCCCATTCTCTCGCGTCTCCTCTGTCCTCGGTGGGACCGGCAATCACATGGCTACATGTATGCTCCCGATGTACCCTCCCCTACGCCCACCCCAACCTAGCCCATCTGCATCTCCCTGCGTGACTGGAAGCTGAAACTTCCTCGTTGTCTCTGCTACCTCATCGCCATGGCGTAGACTCTGCCCAAATCACCCACCTTCAGCCAGCCTTCTCTGTATCCTCTTCGCTTCAACTCAACCCTTTCGGGTGTGAGCTTCATATCACATTTTCCCTCATTCCTATCTTTTTTTTATTGCGCCCTTGTACCTCTCGCCAAACCCAGGAATTGTCCTCTTTTGGCGCCATTCCTTGAAGATGGGCCAAACTTTGGCCTCATACTTCCTTCCTTTCGTGCCCTTTCTCCACATCAAAACATACACACACACATACACACACAGGCACGTGGCCGCACATCATGCGGGTGCTCCAAAGCACAATAATTTCTGCCGAGATTTGACGTATACATCAGCAATCGTATCTAGGGCCTCTTCGAGTGAGCGACCCTTCCGAACCGATGCTTTGTTTCATCCTTTAGCTTCTGCCCGCCATACCACCCTCTAAACGGTCCAGAAGCTCGTCGACATCAGATCTTTTTGGTCGTGCTTTGTACATTTTAATGATCATCTTTCGTTGAATAATTACCATTCCTTCTGTTAATACCTCCCGGTTAAGCCCACCTTACTTGGGCTGGCTCGTTGGCGGCGCTCTACTGTCCACGCTTGCGGAGGGAACAACACTTTTAGGGTACATAAACTGTAGTGGTCCCTACGACCAACATCTGGACTCGATGGGACAGAAGGGCAAGAACAGTCGTGCGAGCCACGCTGGCGAGGAGGATGAGGGGACGTAGAATGAACTCCTGGCGCCAGTCTGCCATGAAAAATAGAGACTCATCGCAAGTTGATCAGAGTAAAGTCGTCTCAGGCATCCTCAACCTTGACCCAGACGACTTGACTAAAGTCGCATAAATCGAGAACTTGTTTACCCGGCAACCACAAAGGTACACAGCTCAGACTTGGACAGTTGATCTGTCTATCTCTCGACGTCCATGCAACCTTCAATGGGTGTGTCGCCAGTTTCATTGGCATACCGGGAGATGGGCACATTTATGTCCATGTGGTTAATGCAAAATTTGGGCCTAGAAGGGTTCATCGGAATGTTGGTTTCCCATTATTCCTCGATTTTATGCATATCATTCGGCGTCACCCATCGGTGACCATTTATAGATGCAACCCGAGACTCGTTTCTTGACCCTACCACGTGAAGAGTAGCTAAAAATCGTAATAATCCTCAAATGGGCGGCTACAAGATGTGGTTTTGCAATCCGATTTTGGCTCTTAAAAGCTTACATCTCATCATTACAACCATTTATGCATTCTCAATTAGGATTTTTTTGAGTAATTAAGACTTGATATTTAATTGTTTCAAAATAATTACGCATTACGATTGGTGGATAAATACATTTTAATCGTCACTAACCAGACGAGAGATCTATTCGGTTCCTAATTCCGCCTTGTGGCATGATCTACTGAGGAAGTGTAACAACAGAACATTGTATAAAGCGAAATTAGCAATTGCTTCAGTACTTTGATGGTTTAGAGAATTTTCGGATTCTCATTCTGGATCAGGCCGCTACAGCATTTTGTGCTCATGTGCTAAGGTCTATGAAGAGAAGACCTGCTGACGCATCCAGAAGAGACTATGCGAAGACAAAAACGCTTCTGAAAGTGTGTGGATCAAAAAAGTTGGGCTCGCACAAAAAAACACAACATTTTGCGGATTACGGGGCTTCACGTTAAAGCGTAAGATTGGGGAGTAACAAAACAGCCGTATCATGTATAGGAGGAACTGGTGTAGGAAATTGAGTAGGAATTATTTGTTGCTGTTGGATAGGCTTAAGAAAGAGAGAGAGAGTGAGCACGAAGAACCACTGAATGAATGGGATGGCCTCGAGTCTGAGAACATCACACTTCTCAATACATGCACGCAATAGACAATATCACAAGCCCAAACAGGGCTCAAAATTAGACGATTGTACGTTAGTTTATGTCTATAGAGTGACAGCTACCATCGAATCCACATCCCATCTGCAAATATGTAGAGTCAATTTGAGGTAGCCAACCAATTCATGGGATACCTCATAAAGATCACAAGGTGAGATGGATGGAAAAGTTGCTTGGTTTAATAGATTTTTGCGGAGAAAAGTTGGGCTTCATGCAATCTCTTCTTTCATAAATGTTGAGTTTACTTCTATTTCAAGTGAAAGTGTTGGGGGAAGAGATTCGAAGGTCGGCTCCATCTTGACCAGCTGTCGATTGGCTCTTCT